CGTTGTACAGTGGAACATGACTAAATAAAATAGGAAATCATGGGTTTTTTCATCCTGACGGTGATACAAGTTTGCGCGTCGCGGTTGCTCACCCTTAAACTTGAAGGTTCGCATTCTTATACCTTGATGAGGTTGTGGTCTCTAACATTTTAAACATTTACCATTTTCATTTCTTCCAGATGAGTCATACTTCTGTCAGTCAACATCGTGGCACCAGTCGGACAAATGAAATTTATGCTTTAATACAAATGCCAAATTCTGAATACAAAATTGTACCAGTTGCCGATTGTAAAATATCTGAAGATTATGATCATGTAACGTATAAAAACAAAAGTAATTTACAATTAATTTATACAGGCAAGTGAAATTATAAAGCAAATAAACCGCTTTACAAATATTGCTCTTTGTTTAGGCATAAAATCGGAATGTGTACGACAATTAAAATTAATTACAAATGATACAACTGACTTTGAATATGGAGAGATTACTGGGGGTGGTAGTAAACGTAAACATGTTGTAGATTTAGATGATTTGAACGTTTTGGATGCAACACAAGTGAAAAGTAAGACTGAAAATTTGAATGAATTAGTCTTATTAATGTATTTTAGTGAGAAAAAAAAATAAGAAAAGAAAAGGTGATACACAATATCCCGGCGAAAAAAGAATTGATAAAAATTCAGATGCAATCACAAAATTATTTAGTTCTCGTAAGTCGAATATTATCATTGCACAAACCAAGGCACTGACACTGAGCTCAGTTGACAAATAATTTAGTTTTTTTAGATACAACAAACTCAATCATTATCTCACCAAAACGAGCTAGTCCAGCCAGTTTACCACCATTACTGTTGAATAGTCTTAGCAGTGATCCTGCATCAACAAATGCACAACAAACTTTATTATCACTATTAACTCAGCATCCCACACAAGAACAACAATTACAATCAACACTGACACAACAAACACCATTATTCAAAAGTTCATCAAAAATAAAATTATTGAGAAATAAAAAAAAAACGAATACAAGTGCAAGTACAAATGATCCACTTTCACCACAACGAAAACAATCAAAGGAAAATCAACCGCCAGTTGTTATGAATGATCGTGATATTCAAGAAGTATTTTTCAATGGTAAAATATGTAATTGGTGTATAGCGGACCACCCACTTTTCTAATTCTGTTGTAGAACTTGAAAATCGCTTAACAAAAAAAATAAAACCGATGGAACGACAACTAGAGATGTTAACGAACGTGGTATTAAATATTCGAGAAAATTTGCACAAGAATAACGATAAATTAGATGGAATAATGTTACCAACGTTAAAAAAAATGAAGCAAAATGTTATTGACGTTAAGCAAGTAACGAGTTCATCTTCTTTAAACATCATGATCGTTCTACATCAAAACGTCTTTTTTATCTTCACAGTGTGTATCTGGTAAAAGTTTAAAAAATGATGTACCGGTTCCACAAAAGTTAACATTGGTATGTTAGTATGGGAGTAAACAAAAGTAAAAATGCAAGAAAATGCATTAGGTAATCTAGCAGAGGACTTCTCTACAAAAAAAATTCATTTTGAACTGGTGCACACCAGTGCCATAAAGTAAGAAAACTATCTAAGTTTTATCGACATTCGTCCGGCACTGTCGCCAGTGCAAGAAAAGTATTATCAAGTATCAGAAAGAAAAGGAGTGAATCATATTTGCTTTTCTAACATATTAACAATATTTTTGTTTTTTACAGATATACAAAGAGAAAAATGTTATGCGTCATAAAAAACCTACCACTACATGTTCAGCATTTGCTCGAAAAGTTGCAGCAGATATTTTTACGAGAGAAGATATTCTCAATTTGGAACATGTAAATAGCAGTGATCCACGTTGTAAAGTTATCGAAGGTAGTCTGACGTGCAAACCAATTTAGGACTTTGTTAATGTATTTTTTTCTTATCTTCAGAAGCAGTTTCAAAAGCATATGGATGGTCAACTGAAACTTATGAAGCCAAATATTCAGTATTGAGAAATTCATTAGTACAATTACGTCGAGATATTTTAGCTGGGAAATGTTTAAAAACTGCAGATCAATCTGAAGAAAATGGTACTGATAAACAAAATGATAATAATGAACAAGAACAAGTGGAAGTTGATAATGAAAATCAACAAGACGATCTAGATGAACGTACTAATTCGCATACTTCGTCTTCTTTGCAATCAAGTTCATGTTCGTCAGACGATGAAAAAGAATGTGCAGAAGAAGCAAATGGTGAGAAAAATGATGAATTATCATTAAGTAGTGGTAACAGTTAGATGTTTTTTTGGCAAGACTAACAGTTTTTTAAAATAGTGTTCTCCTTTCTTTATATCAGTGTGTTTAACCCCAAAAGTTAGAAACATTAGGCGTTAACAAGAACAATTTGAGTTGTAAGAAGAAAAAAGCAGAGATTTTTGCTTATTTTCCTCAAACTAGTCAGAAGAGACAAATAGTCGAGAAAGTCCTTACTTTTAGTTCCATTGCAGCTCAAAATGACTATATGTTTCGCAATCTGATAACAGATTGATAGTAACAGTCAGAATAAGAGCAATTCAACTATAGACAGAATTATCTTCATCTTTTCGTTCAGTCCTTTCCTAGTAGTTTTTTAATACTCTTTTGATATTAATTGCATGTACTTTTCTTTTTTTTCTGACATTTTCAATGTTGTTTTTACTATGATCTCACATTTTTTTACTAATCAATACTTTTTTTCTTCAACTGAAGAACTTATCTAGCATGTCGCATTTTTCAAGTGATGATTTCTTTTGTTTATTATTGTCTGTTTAGGCCTATTGTTGATTGTGCAATTAGTTTGCTACTTGATTACTAAAAGTTAAGATTAATAATAAGATACATTTTATGAATTTATTCTAAGACAAAACAGATTAATATCTGGTCTAATCTATTACGAACTTTACTCTGCCGAAATTAATTTTGTTTGGTTATCAGTAATTTAATCCAATGATATTCTCAAAACACACGCCTTTAGTTAGAATGCATTGTGTTCTCGAAGACAAGACCGAGTAAAACACAATACATTACTTTCCGAAATAATGGTTTTTAACTGTTGAATATCAGCATATTGGTCATTCGTCTTTGTACAATAATTTTACTATTTCACTTTAATTTTAACACTTTCAGTTCGAATCCTGCGTTATGATATATATTATTAACGAATATTTCTAGTAGACTACAGTTTTCGTCAGTCTAACTTTCAAGTTTTAAGGATTATCAGTGAAAACGGTTGCTTTTAATTGAATATGACTTATTGACGAAAACTGCACTGTTCACTACAAACATAATTAATAATATATTCCATCACGCAGGACTCAAACTGAGTGATTAAACTAAAAAATAAGGTTACTATTGAGACGAAGGATAAATATGCTGATGTTCGATTAATCGATCAACCTAGAGTGGAAACCAAAATTATGAAAATGCAAGACTCGCGCCATGACACTAGCGAATAATTTGTGGTCGCGACATGACTTCGCGAGAATCTAAGACTCACAAAGCGACTTCATGATTCAAGCATGATCGCGATATGACATAAGTGATTTCTGGATAACATGCATTCAAAAATAGCGAATGAATCGCGATCGCGCTATGACAATCGCGAATTTAGCGTGATCATTCCTGGACCGCGACAAAAGCGCGATCATAAAACAAGACTCTTATTTCGCGATCATAACCATGATCGCGTTACGCGTACTTGCCGCGACTTTTTATCGCGACTGGGGCAAGAAAGTTGACTTGGGTTAAATGCTCTCATTTTCAACATGTTGCGGACACGACCGTGATTCTTCCCTAAAATAGATCGAATGCATCAGGAAGGTACTGATGCGTACTTGATCGTTTAGCGTAGCAGATCGCTTTTCGTTAAAACTTTGTCCGCAGACAGAGCAATCCCGTTTACAAAATGTAGGAAATACAATGCGCAATGTAATTTTATTGTCAGTTAATAAGTCGCACCGTTTTCTTTGTAGTCAACATTATTTCTGTTTGTGTCTCCTGTGTTGTATCTTCGGTCTCCATTGTTTCTGTAGTAGTAGTAAAAGTGTCAATAGTAGTATCAGTAGTAGGATTGCTAATTGTATTGGAGAATTCGCTAATATTTCTTCTTGGTCTGGTGTCACAGGTGTGGCAAAGTACTGTATCCTCAGAGAGTTTTGTGATAGATCGAAAAAGTTATTTTCAACGTCTTTTCCCACAGTTGTTTAGAAAAAAATGACTTTTTCAAAAAAAAGACATTTTTTCCGACTCTCAAACTATGCCCATTCGATTCCTCGTCAAAAACTGAATACGTCCATGTAGGTTTGGTCATGTCACACGCAATCGTCAGAAGGACAGTGAGAAAAGACTTTTTGAAAAACCCGTTTTTTGAGTTTTCTTATCTTTTCGACCTGAAGAATCATTTTTTCCAAACTTTTCGACACAGATTCTGAAAGCTGAAATCGCGGCCAGTAAGGTCTTGTGTATTTTGAGGTTTGTTGTCGCTTGCCTGAGCATCTAATCTGGGATAAACAAAGGTGAGCCATTTTGGCCATTTTTCGATAGATGGCGGTTTTCTCGGTCAAGAAAAATTTTTTTTTCCAGATTTTGACCTCATATTCATTATTAGCATTAAATTCTGCGTCTAGTGATGTGTCACGTAACCACTTTCAAAAAAAATATATTTTCGATGTTACAAAGGGGAACCGCAGCCTTAAAATTCTTGAAAAAAGTGAAAGTGAGTTTTTTAAAAATCTGAATCGACAGTTTTGTTCAGAATTTGATGCTGATTTCAACCGTGTAATTTTTATTCGAAAAAAATCGAGGCCACAAAACCGCCCTATCCGCCTCCCTCCTTTAGTTGGCATTTTCTTAGGATGTATATGATGAAAGATCTTTCGCACCACAAATACTCCTAGGCTGGCTGCAGGATCTCTCCACGAACTTCGTAATGACTTTCACCAGATTCAGCGTCATTTGTCACCTATTCCCTGCTAATTTCACAGCTTTTGAATGAAACTGAGAGAGTTAGTAGTAAACCGCTTCGCCGTTGCCACCGTTCTTTCAAATAAAAGTAGGATCGTTCGAGAGAAAAGAACAATTTTTTATTTGGAGCTTTAACTTTGTTCTACGTTTTAAGGCGGTGTGAATGGTGTCAGATTCAAATGTCCAGCGCTTTACGGAAACGACTTGATGCCTTTTTGAGGAAGGGTGCTCCTTTTTGGGCATCTTTTGGAAATGAACTTTTTTGGACGATTTCTCGCGCCTCAGAAAAATTAAAATACACTTTTCTATACCCACTGTCATCTACTGATTCCGAAAAATCACATTGGGAAGGTTCGGCGACCTTCTGCAGCTAAGATATTACGTGTTTTCTAAACCCTCGAAATTTTTCGGAACAATGGAGCCTTACTATTTTTCGATTTTTGTCGAGGAAAACGCGTACTGAAATTTTTTAACTATAATATTCATGATCAGTGTAAAATTCTGCGTCGAATGAGCTGTACTTGAGTCAAAAATAATATCCTGCTCGATCTCTGAATTAGTGGAATCTTACAGCAACAACAGCAACTTTGTCATCAATCAAGAAAGAACCGAATATACCGTCTGCATGAAAAACATCATATATTCAAGGTTGAGTTGAATACAACGAGCTTTCCTTTTGCTGAATGATTCCTGTTTTATAGGTGACGGAAACTTTATTCTGGACGATCTTACAAATATGATTGACGAAGATCTGATTTACAATTCCTCTAGCTCTATTTTGTGTAAGTATTTGCTATTTTTGGTCGAATAATCTTATATATCCTTGTCGTTCGCCTTTTAGAAAATGATGCTCAATTACTTCAATCAATTACTTAGCTTGTGACTGTTGTTGAGATGTTGAAATATTTTCGTTCAGAATTATGTATTTGTTTACTTATTGCACTGGCATTCTTTTTTATTTTATAACATTATTAAATAAAATATCATTGGTCCTTGACTGCATCTTTTTCGTACGTTTGTTAGTTGCTGACGTTTTTTTTTCGTAACTTTCTTTTTCTCGTAGTAACCAAGCCCTTGGTATTTGGTCAGAAACTTTTTCGAACCATACAGACCGATAGAGCTAAGACTTCGCAGGAAAATAAAATATCTTCCGGCTGTCGATAATGCTTTTTTATCCAACTACAGTCGATTTACGAATGGATGCAAACGGCGTGAGAATTACCAAAACATTCCGATAAAAATCCGGTGAAAAATTTTCTGACCAAATACCAAGGACTTGTTTTCTAGCCTTCAGGTTTTCCACAAACCCTATTATCAACTTTTCTCATGAAACGGCGATATGCACCTCATGTGATAGAATCGGGCTATTCAAGAGAGTATTCAGATTTGTTTCAGCGTTTACTGAAAAATAAAAAACAACGGAGTTCTTGTGATTATGACATACTGTATTGCATATATAACACCCAAACGCTTCTTTTAGTTATCTCTAATAACTGGCCCCACCTGTCTGGATATTCTGACCAACTCACTTTGTAGAGAATTTCAGAGGCTATCCAGTGGCACGTTTTGGAAAAATGTTTAATTTTTCATCATGGTAGAAAAATGACTATATTACCAAAATCAATTCTACAAAAAGTTGCATTTTACCGCAGTAATGATTTGATCTAAAATACCATTTGTGCCCAATTTCCAGATTTAAAGATACTTGTATTCGATCATATTCGACGTGCGCTACCTTTGAATATAGACTGATTACTTACCCAGAATGAGTAAAAACGATCATGTCTTTTCAAATAACAATAATAATAATACTTGGCGAAAATCCATTATTCTAACTGCTGTTTTGAATCTAAAATCTTTCTGAATATGCGATATTGTTCAGCATTTTCTGCTCTTTCGAATGAGATATTGATCCAAAACTTTGAAGGAAAATTGCCGATTTTATTGATAAAAAACTAAAAAATCGTGATTTTTTCGACTTTTTCCGCAAGTTTTTTGGAAAAATCTGATTTTTCCATCAAAAAAAACGTATTGAAGGAGGAAAAGGTTTTTCTATACTTAATCATGCCTGAAAAATCGATTTGAAATAGTTTTTGACGACGAAAAAGAATTATTTAGAGCTTTGTCTGTTTCGGTCATTTCCAGCTCTGATTATTGTGGGGCCATTTTGATCCCGAGGTACATCGATTTTGTCATTTTTAAACAATGCATCACGAATTGTTTGCTCTATTAAAATTTCAAAACTCTATTATGAATTTCCGTTTGGTCGCTTAAAATCTTCAGGTTTTTCCGCAAAAACCTCAAAATTTTAGTATAATATTTCTTTGCGACTAGGCATGCACCAATACCAATCATTATTGAAGATATTATACAATATTATTGGCTATCCAATAATATTGTGTCCCAGTATTATTGTATACCCAATCTGTTGGGACCAATAACATTGGTCACTCAATAATATTGTGTACAATAATATTGGGTAATATTGGGTTCGCAATACACTGGATTCCAACTTTTTAACCTTAATAGCATTGACCTTCATAAAAACGTGAGGAAGCATATCCCGATCGGGATTAGGCATGTACTGATTAACAATCGATATTAGGGCATCCAGCAAAGTTGTTCCGAATCAGATTTCAAAACGCACTTAGAGTTGCCGAATGTCTCATTTTGTAGAAAAATGTTTGCTCTACTAAACTAAAGTGCAAAAAGACATTTTAGTGTTATCTGCGACAGAAATATAAGCATCAAAAACTGAGCAAAATTGCGAAAAAAGCGACTGGCGATTATTTTCTATGATTATAGTGCGTTTTCGATTTATTGTATTTTCTCTATATATAACATTAAAATTTTTGTAGCACTTCAGTTTGGTAGAGAAAACATTTTCCTACAAAATGAAGCGTTCGGCAGCTCTGAGAGCTTTTTATAACTGATTTGGAACGACTTTGCTGAATGCCCTGATATTAATTCTTAATCGGTGCATGCCCAATTGGGTTATTTTTTGATTCAGAACCGGATATAAAGCATGATTCCGTACTGTAAACGTAGGCCGACCTCAAGTGACCCATATCCAATAATATTGCGAAAACCCAATATATTGGATGACCGATAATTATTGGTCCCAATAGATTGAGTGACCAATATTATCGGGACCCAATATACTGTATTGGTGCATGCCTATTTGCGACTACTATTTTACCTTTAAAATATTTTTAAATGTAAAATTTTGTTCTGTTTTGTGCGCTCTTTCGAATGAAATGTCGTTCAAAAAACGGTTTTATACATAAAAGGCTGAAATTGGTCAGTTTTCGAGTTTTTTAGGCATGATCTTGGAAAAACTTGATTTTTTCCAGAGAAAAATGACTTATAAGATTTTAAAAAGTTTCGTCACCTCAGTTTTCCATGACGAATCGAATGATGTAACTTTTAACAAAATCTGTTTTTCGCGATTGACAGGTATACTCGATAAGCTCGTGGAGGCTCTCTTAGTAATTAGATGCCGTTAATTACATTTTTTCTTTAATTAATTTATCAAATTTCGAGCATATTTTTTCATTCATTTGTTTCATATATACTTGTATATCTTTAATGTCATTTTGTATTTTTTGAATATCTTCTTTGGTTTTTTCTTGATCAAAAGCAATATTATCTAATTGTTCTCGATTAGAATCATCTGTTGATTGTTCATCGCATAATTCTTTTTTTTTATTACCTTCAAAAAATCGTTTCATTGCTTCAAATGGTTTGTTATACCATTTTATTTTATGTGGTAGTACAACTTCATTTCTATTTTTTTGTGCAAAATATTGTAATAATTTCATTGGCATTATAACTTCATATTCACTTATCAATATAATTCTTAATTGACTACGTTTAAATTTGGCACGACTCATCATTGGTCCAATTTCACCAACAGCAAAACCTATCAACAGATTATTTATCAATATAAACATTAATGATGCGTAAATAACATATATAATGAACGTAATTGGACGATAGATAGGTAAGCCAGTCGCATCTGTGTACATATGAGATTCATAACCAACATCGTTTAGCATTATGTAAGAACGAATTATCGATTCGATCGGTGTTATGAATATAAGTTGATTCTGTAATAGCATGTAATAGGGAAAGCCAAATGATACAACTAATAACAATAGAATGGGAAAAAACCATAGAAAATTTGTTATTATTATTTCTAACATCGCAATAAATAAACCGTGTGTGGGAGTAAATTGAATATATGTTACTAATGTTAACCATGATAGTAATATACCTAAAAAAGCAAGGAGCGTTAGTTTGGCCTTGGATCATCTATAAGGAGCACTGTCGGAAGATATAATGCAATAAACTCGTTTAGAAGATTAAATAACTGCAGTAGAAGCCCAAAATGTGTAAAATATAAACATGGTCTGAAATCATTCTCATTCGATTCTCCAGTTATAATTGACTATATCAAATTATTATTACATCTCGAAACGTTTTCCTCGTTGAGAACTTTAGTTTAAACGACGAATGGCACACTTTAGTATTTTGATTATTGTGTCCCTACAATTACCTAAAGGTACTCCCTCTTTTTTGACCCTCTTGGAAGCCGGGGAAGCCGATATCGGATCGGGTTCTAATTTATACTAGAGAGAGAACATTAAAAAAGAAAATCGATGATATTTTTCCCAGAATTTTCTGACGTGTTATTCTATGGGTTTTCTGAAAAACTCCGATTTTCATCAGGCCACATTAAGACCGCCCGATAAAATGATATAATCGAGCTCAAAATTCTACTACAGATACTTCAGGCACTATCGCAGGTCAGTTTTTTTTTTTCACAAAATATTCTTTTCTTCTCGAGATATTCGAAAAATACTAAAAGTCCCATATAAAAAAACGGTTTTTCATTTTAAAAACCTTTTCACGCCGAAAGTTGAAATCGAAAACACTTTAAAAAAAAGAATCTGAAATAGGGTCTGAAGTATCTGCGGTCAAATTTTGAGTTCGATCGGTTCATTTTTTCGAGAGGTCGTAGTGTGGCCCGATCGAAGAGAGTATCGACAAAGCGCACAGTGAGAAAAACACATATTGTACACAAGGCTCTGTTTTTCATGGCATTTGCGGTGGTGCTTATATCTTCACAAGAACTCATTGGAAAGTTCTGCGAAACGTTTAATTTTGAAGAGCACACTTTCTTTTATCATGCTATTTATAAGAAAAAGTTTTAAATGTATAGACAAGGAGAGGAAGATTTGCAAAACTGAAAAAATGAGATTTTCCAGGCTTTGAAGGAAAAACTTAAAAACTCCATAACTTTTTCAAGGAAGGTCCTGGAGAGCTGGGAGTGATCTCATTTTGTACCTTAGACTTTCCGCTATATCAGACTATGTCCAGCTCAAAATGAAAAGTTTTCTGAAAAAAGAGTGGGGGTGCACCCTACGTTTACCCGCGGGTACCTTCCCCTCATTTCTTCAAAAAGACTTTTTATTTTGAGCTGAACATAGTCTAATATAGAGAGTGCGCTTCACGGCCTTCCTTGAAAACAATATGTACTTTTTAAGTTTTTCCTTTCAAAGCCTAGAAGATCGCAATTTCTTAGATTAGTACATTTTTCTCTCCTTTTCTATGTATCCAAAATGTTTTCTTATAAATCGCATGATAGAAGAAAGCGTGCTCTTCAAAATACGACGTCTTCCAGAATTTTCCAAAAAGTTTTCGTGGAGATTTAAGCATCATCGCAAATACTCTGAGAAACAGAGGCCTAAGTACAATATGTGTTTTTACTCTCTATGCCTTTTCCGATAGTCACCTCAATCCAGTCATTCCTCGGAAAAATGGTCCGATTGAACTGGAATGTTTCCAAAGATACTTTAGACCCTATGTCAAGCTCGTTTCTTTTAAGCGTTTTCGTTTCAACTTTCGGCAATGAGAAGATTTTCAAAATAAAAACCGGTTTTTTTGTACAAGATTTTGGTATTTTTCGAATATCTCGAGAAAGAAAGCATATTTTTCGAAAAGAAAAAACCTTAGATGGGGTCTAAGGTATCTGTGATAAAATTCTGAGTTTGATCGGACCGTTTTCTCGGGGGGGTCGTGAATGTGTAGTGGCATAGTCAGGAATCCGTGGGTGGTAAGGCAGTACCTCACGACCTTTAAGAAAATCCATCCAAGATAGTTTAAATTTTTTGCACAACTGAAATACAGTTGCTGAATTCTCACTTTCTTAAGAGAGAGATAATACACTGTATCTGCACTTTTATCAAGTGAACTTATGTGAACAAAAAAGAAAAAGAAAATGAAATAAATAAACAAATAATAGTTATTTCAACATTATTCGACAATAATCTTAGTGGAAATAATTATTTTTTGTTTCTTCCGGTGCCCGGGCTAAGACTGCCGGTGGCCGGGCGGCACCCGGTCTAGCCCACCCCTGGTTACGCCACTATTTGGAAATCATTTTAAGCCACTGCCTGGATATTTCTGTTATACTTAAAAAATAGTTACCACAAAGTTAACTAACTGATAGTTACCGTTATTTCAACGGTAACTGAAAAGATAGTTCGCGTTAAAACAACGGTAACTGTCTTTTCAGTTACCGTTGTCGATAACGGCCGAAGAAGTAACGGTAACTTTTATAGTCCTATCTAGGAGTAGTACCAGAGTGAGTTTAATAAAAAAACTTATCTGCGTAAGAGTCGGGTAATCGAAGTTTTACTGGGCTCTAAAACAAGCCCATCAGTTCCTACTAGGCATGCACCAGTTTTAACTGCTGTTGGGACAGCCAGGAGAATTGTTATAAATCAGTTATCACGATCATCTCAGAGCTGTAAAACATCTAATTTTTTAGAAAAATGTTTGTTCTACAAAATGCATTTCTTAAAAGAATTTCAGAATCATTTCTAAGAAAACTCGGAGTATTCAAAAATACATTAAATCACGGGAAAAAAACTGTTCGAACAGTTTTTTTTTCATAAGTTAGTACACCTTAGAATGCTCTAAGTTTTCTTAGAAGTCATTCCGGAATTCTTTTAAGAAATGCATTTTGTAGAACAAACATTTTTCTAAAAAATTAAATGTTTTACAGCTCTGAGAGGATCGTGATAACTGCTTTATAGCAATTCTCCCGGATGCCCCAACACCAGTTAAAAACTGGTGCATGCCTAGTTCCTACTTGTTTGAAATTTATCTTTGCCTACCTATTGAACCAACTGACCATTGTTCTGGACATCTTAATTTAACATTCATTTGCCATGAATACCAATCTTGTGAATAGTACAAACACAAAGCTAATGATGTTAATTCTAAAAGACTACTTTTAGAAAGTACATATTGCCAATGTTGAACAATTAAATACAGATATTTAAATAGATGGCATGCAATCAGACTTAATAACATATATTTTAAAACATAATCTGATGACTGTTTTACACCATCACCAGACGGATTTTGTTGTGAATTTTGTAATAGATTCGCAATAGCTTCACACGTTGTATCAGTTATATTATAATTGAACAACAAATAATAGTATTGCGAATGCTTTATATTTAATATTGTGGCCGTAAAACAAGCCAAAAACCATAAATAAAATGTTAATGTTATTATGAATACCAAACGCGTAAATTGTGACCATTTACGTTGTATTAAACGATCAACTAATTCATTTTTAATTAAATCTTCACGTTCATTAATAGCCATTATATATAATGGATGATTATGTTGTAGTGCGTTACGCTTGTGTTCATGTGATGACCGTAATGATGTTGCCGATTGTTGATCAGCTGTTTGTTCAACCGAAATGGAATTAGATCGTCTCATTAGACAATTATTAATCCACCAACGCCAACTTTTTGATGTTCGTTTTTCAGCAGAATTACCTTTTTTCTTCTCATTACCTAAATAAGAATAAGTATATAAATATGATGTCAGAAGTGTCATTACCAAAGTTATTTCACAGGCTATACAGTGAATGTTAGTCGAATTCAACAAAAGAAAAATTTCGAGTTCGTTTTATTGTTTAACTACAAAGACTAAAAAGTACAATGATTTTGGTTCGATAGATAGTATTTGATCTACATCTATATTCCTACCTGGTACCCAACTGGCAAATTGATCTTCCAATAATTCATAATTGTAACGTACTGTATAATCTGTTGTTTCTTCATTTCCCAATCTTGTTATACAACGTTTCAAAACTTCTTCAGCTTTTGTTGGCATTAAGCGAATTAATTTTCTCAATGGTGTATCTATTTCTGGTTCATGACCTGTGATAAATGTTCTCAATTGAGCATTTTTCATTGATTTCATCCATGATGTATGTGAAATGAATTCTTGTACAACAAATTGTTGATCATTCATTATGCCTACTTCTAAACTGTTAAATTCTTTTGTATTTTGAATTGTTACATTAGCCTTATTTTCAAGTAGAAGTTTCACAATTTTTCGATGACCATTCATACTTGCTAGATGAAGTGGAGTACAACCTTTTTCATCAATATCATCTAATGGTGCATGATTTTTAATTAATAATTTAGCACAACGATATTGATTTCTAGAACAAGCTCCATGTAATGGCGTTGAATCATTCATATCTCGTGCTTCAATATTTGCACCATAGTCAATTAACAGTTTGACAATTTCAACTTGACCTAAATGAGAATAGATTCAAATTTAATCTAAAACTCAATTGTCCAGAATGAGCCTATGTGAAGTTTCTGAATGTATTTATTTTAGTTCTGGCTGACAGAGTGTTTGAGCACTTTGTAACTGATCAAGCACGAAATAAATGAATGAGTAATATTACTGTAAGAAGGAAAAAAGAAGACTCTACATGTACATATGTTAGCCGCGCCGGCAAATTTTTGACCACCGCCGACGAAGATCAAAATTTCTGTAGGAATAAACGCTACGTCCGGCACCGATTGCAAATTTCTTTTGCATTCTTCGCGCCGACGCCGACGAAAAGTCTATCGGCTAATATCTCCAGATGCCAATAGTGGTTTCTCTTACTTGTTCAAAGATAAGCAACTGGTTTATTTTGCTTGATACATTTTCTGTATTAGTTTTATACACGGATAATTTAATTTAATAAGTTGGCTCAGATATACATGTGCTCGTTAGTTCAACATATACGTATCATGAGACGTATAATTGTATTACAAAACAAATTGATTCTCAAGACTACTGTTACTAAAATTGGATTATGTATATAATTCAATGTAAAAAGACTAACTTATCAAATTAATTTGTAAATAGAAATTCTGTGTATAAAACTAATACAGAAAATGAATCAAGCAAAGTAAACCAGTTAATTACCTTTGAACAAGTAAGAGAAACCACTATTAAAAATCACTTCATTTTTTATACAAAAAGAAAAATTAGTTTTTTGGTTTGTATTGACGGTCCGATATCTCAAGAAATTCAGATGATCTTTTTCTGAAAAATCGCTGAGCATGATATGTAACTTGTGCACTCGAAGTTAGAGTAAAAAGAGCAGGTAAGTACTCTCAACTTAATGCGGTACTAATTGCAGGCTTGGGTGTGTCTGGACTGGAAGATTTTTTAGCGGACTCGAACTGGAGATTTTTTTGAAGGACTTGGACTCGGACTTGACCTTCTGTATTTCGAGTCCGATCTATTGAACTTCTAACACAAATGACCAGAGAAAAAAGAAAAGCGAAATAACAACACCTACTATTTCACATGAAACTGAAAATTTTGTTCGGGAGACGGACATGGAAGGTAACCTTATTTTCGAAAAATCAAATATCTATCCAGGACTCAGTAAATTAAAATATAAACCATGCTCATCAAAAAAGAATCTAAAAGATTACCGGACTCGACATGGACTCGGACTCGGCTCGGATTCGCCCATGCCTGACTAATTGATTAAATTCACAGTGATAGATAGGAAAGATAGGAAACTAAATTCACGCTGTAATAGATTAGACAGAAGAAAAATAAAGCGGATAATGGTTGAAGTCCTATGTTTATGCATCGGCAGCCGATATAACAAGACATTAATTAGGGTGTCATTAAAACAAATAATAAATAATATTACTCATAACAGACAATAATAGATTTTATTTTAATTTTCAGTATACTATTAAATTTGTTAATAAAAAACCATTTTGCTAAAAAATCGAGATTCTTGGGCTGCTTGAGTTGCAGGCGGAATCCACATATATCATATCATACCTCAGAATAAAAATAGTCTATCTTAAAGTGAGAATATATAAATATATATCTATGTATAACTTATATTTAGAAATAGAAAGAATACAGTTCAGCTTTAAATTATCTTATCTTTTGTAACGGTTAATCAAAAATGAAAATTTGTTCTATTCTGTACATAGACTTATCGAAAATAAGTCCACGCGTAGACGTAGAAGTAGAATACAGTCTACGCGTATATATAGATCAATATCATTCCTATTTTTCCGAAAGGATACTGCCTAGTGCTTGAGTTATCTGGTCGACAATACGATTGTTTAACAAAAACAATCATATTGAAAAAAAGAAATCTACTGTTTCGGGGTGTATTGACGATCCAATATCTCTACAAATTCAGGCGACCATTTCTGAAAAATAGCTGAGCATAATATGTAACTTGTGCACTCGAAGTTAGAGTAGAAAAGGCAAGTAAATACTCTCGACCTTATCTATAAACAGAAAGAATACAGTTCAACTTTAGATTGCATTAGACTGTGTAACGGATAACACAAAATGAAAATTTGTTCTATTCTGTAATACACAGAAATGTATCCGATTTCTCTCATTCAGCAAAACCAGAGAAAGAAAAAGAAAAGAGAATGATACTGTTCTATATCTACGCCTAAACTTATTTTTGACGGCTTCCCTAACTCCGATAGACAAATCGAGTTTCATAAAAAATATATGGGTGGAAGGTTTCGCTCGGAATCGTCGATCATCATCAGGCATATGACGACCAAAGAACAACTTAGTCTAGGGATGCACCAAATCCTGCGACTATGTCTCAAAGGTTGCATATTTTTGATATTTAAAGCCCTAAACTTTAGCAAACTTTTGTGTCAGACATAAGCAGTTTTATCTGTTCTATCCGAAACTAGTATCAAATTTAAAAATAAGCCGCTGGATTTGGTAGAGTTTGGTGAAAACTACTCTTTTGCTTCATTTTTCACCAAACTCTACCAATCAGCGGCTTATTTTTAAATTTGATACTAGTTTCGGATAGAACAGATAAAACTGCTTATGTCTGACACAAAAGTTTGCTAAAGTTTAGGGCTTTAAATATCAAAAATATGCAGCCTTTGAGACATAGTCGCAGGATTTGGTGCATCCCTAACTTAGTCGATTGCCCAACTTGTACATGTAGAGTGTTCTTTTTTTTCTTTTTTCCGTGGTACACATGATAAAAATATTTTTCAATGATCTTAGTAGCAGTTTTTTTATACCTTTTATGCCCTTTCGATCTGTCGACTGCTCTTTCTTAGGGATTTTTAAGATTCGCGTTTGATCCTTCTTGCTTGAAATAATAGGCTGAAAGAGAAGGACTCTAGATGAGTTTCTGTGCAAAACATTTTCCTCTGAAAAACATTCTAGTAACACGTTCCAGACGACATTATAAACAGTGCTTTCAATTAATACTTTCAGAAATTCTTCTCCTGTAAGCGCACGATTAAACTCACCAACATCAGCAGCAATATGTAAGGCAGTTTTCAATTCATCATCAACAACTTCTAATACACTGTGCCGCTCTTTTGTAATAATTTTTTCTAATAAATACCGTATAAGTGCCACTTTTCCTCTGAAACATGCTTCATGTAATGGTGTTCGGTAATCGTTATTTCTTTTCATAATCATTTCAATTGAATGTTTAATAAATGTATCTTTTCCGGTATCTTTTTCTGGCTCCGTTGTAGATGACTGTTGGTTACCCCTGAATGTATTTAATAATAATTGACATACTTCTACTTCTCTTCTTTCAATATCAGGCGAATGTATGTGACTATTATTGGCTCGACCAATTGAATGCAACGGATTATTACCAAATTTATCACAATTCTTGACCATCTCATATAGCTTTGTTTCAGGGATTTGAAGCACAATTTCTTTTAAAACATTTATACTTAGTCGTTTAGCACATATTTGTACTAGATAAACAAATAAAATAATATCAATGTGAATAGGTCATTAAACAATAGACCCAAAGTCCCTGCACAAATTATTCGCGCGTTTTCTCCTTCCTAGTCCTACATTACTTAAATTTACTGACTAATCGGCTTGTTCAAGCGGCACGGCGTTACGTTTTTGACGCACTAAACTTCGGTTATCTCGGAAACTAAAGTAGCTAGGAACTTCGTTCAAATGTCAATCGACGCACTTCATCATGCTCTACTTACGCTGTGAAGACGAAGTTTTTTGGATGTTGCATCGCGCTTTGAGAAGGAAGATGTCCTACAGTGTTTTCGATGCTCAACCCACTTTTAATTGCATGATCGTTCAAACATGATTTTTATACACAGTTTTTGATGCTCAATCAGAAAAAACTAGTCTCAAAACTGTAAAAAAAAGCAAAACTTTTCTTATTTTATTTAAATAGGTTTTTAACGATTTTAGTCGAAAACGATTTAGTAAAAAATTAATTTCTCAGCAACAAAGTAGCATTAAAAGGAAAACTTATCATATTCATCCATTTCCCACGCTTTTTTTTCAAGCGCTTTCAAGATGTTACAATAAGGAATATTTTCAAAACGTATTCTTTTTTGGAATACTTTTAGTATTTAAACTCGCTTTTTCCGAAAGTGACCTTTTTCAAAAGTATTCTACTGTGGATCACATTTCAAAAGTGTTTTTTTGTTCCTCATTTTAAAAGCAATCTTTCTGAAAAGTGTTTAGCGGAAAAGCAGTTCCTGAAAACATCAGTATTGAGTAAGAGTGTATGACTCATTAACATCGTATTCAATGGTCGATTTTTTGAAATATCCTTTTTTTACAATCAATGGAAAAAATGAGGTGTCCAAAATCATCTCTGAACGAAGCGAAGCTTTCAGGATTACTGGTGTAAAAGCTCCAATATAAAAGACATTTGTTAAATTTTCAAGAAGACTTACATATATTTCTTTCCTCATCATCCTTAACATCGGTCATAATAGCACCATTTTTAACTAATGTTCTAACACAATCAATATGATCATAATAGGCAGCTGTTAATAGAGGTGTATAATCTTTATTGTCAGCGTGTTCAATATGATCTGTAATGCTTGTTTTATTCTTTGTAAGTGATTGTATTAAATATTGTACAGCACCCGTACGATTATATTGACACGCAACATGTAATGGTGTTTCTTTATTTGATGTTACTGGTAACTTTTGAACATTCATTGATGCATCATCTAATAAAATTTCTAATACTCTGACATTACCGGATTTTGCTGCTAAATGTATTGGTTGATAAAATTCTTTTCCTCGTGCGTTACGTTGAGCTTTGTTCTTCAATAATATTTTAACAGTTTCTTCACAACCATGTTCAGCTGCTAAACATAATGCGGTATTGTTATTTTTATCTTGTATTTCAATATATTCTTGAACTGTTGTTGATTTCATATTTATTGAATTATTTAATTGTTGTTCTTTTTGTGCAGCAGCGTTTAGCAACGTCATCACATTTTCAACTCCAAATTGTCGACGAGAACAATAATGTAGCGGTGTACAATAATTTTTATCTACAGCATCCACCTGTGCTCCATTATCAATTAGTAATTGTACAATATTTTCTGAGACATTATCTTGTGCATCGGTATCAACAAAACGGCATACGAAATGAAGCGGTGTTCCATTTTGAGCATCTCGTGCCTATAAGTAAAGTACATATATGTTCTAAATGAGTGTGACACGAGAGTTTTATTCAAATCACTAAGCCGAATTCCTTAAATTGTAATACAGTTAAAATGAACTCAAGTATTTTCTATTAGTCGAGATAATATGGCTCATGTGTATATGTATAATACAGCATTATTGTATACAATTTCTTTCTCTTGCTTCGTCACAACTCATATGTATTTTCCATTGACGTCTTTTAACCCAAAAGAGCATTAATAAGGTCTATGCGCTTCCAATAGATTTTATGGATTTTCTGCACCACTTGAAACTTCTTTTCGACAGTAACTTATTGATTTTTAAGTGTATAATTATAAAACGATGAAGTAAACCTTTTTAGCTATAAAGGTGAAGAAAGAAATTTAGTTCCTGTTTCTTTTGAGCGTTTAGCAGTGAACAAAGTTTGACGAGTATTCTTGCAGAAATGCTCATTTTCACTACTTCTGAGCCTTTACCATAACTTCTTGCCTATTAATTAAGTACTTTCACTCACATTTCTGAGTAGTATAAACATGGGACTATCATTCGTAAAAAATTTAGCGATAGTAAAAATGTTCATTTTTTGAGATAAGTTTATTTAGGGCCAGCAGATTTTAGAGAAGAATTCTAAAGATTTGTCTACTTTTCAGCTATCAAACTTCAAGATAAATGTTAGATTCGAAATTTGCATTCAAAATTGCATCGAATGACATATTTGATAAGGATTACCGGAATAAAAAAACATCAAAAACTTTTGACTCACTGCGATTTCACAAATATTTGTTCGTCAGAAAAATGTAGTTTTTGATTGTACATTGTGTGCAATGACCTATGTCAGACTATATGTAAGCTACTGAAACTAAGTTGTGGGTAAAATATCATCTGAAGGTAGACTAGCCAAAAATCTTTGATGGAGTTTTTTTCGTTGAACTCTTATCAAAAATGTCATTCGATGCAATTTTGGATGAAAATTGAATCTAACATTTATTTTGACGTTTGATGACTGAAAACTAAACAAATCTTTAGAATTCTTCTCTAAAAATCTGTTGGCCCCAAATAAAATGATCTCAAAAAATGAACATTTCTACTATCACCAAAAACCACCACATTCCAACAACCCACGAACCTACATACAAAATATTCTAGCAGAAAAGGTTCGTGCACCTAAATGTCCGTTCGAACCTAAAAGGTCAGTATTAACCTAAAAGTTTAGATTCGACTTCAACATGACCAGAACCCAACAACCAAAGAACCCCGATCTAAAATATTCTAGGAGAAAAGGTTCGCGTACATAACTCTTCCTAAGAACCCAAAAGTATACATTCGTTTTCAACATCCAAGAACCCAAGAATCTAAAAACCTAGGTACAAAACATACTCGAAGAAAAGGTTCTTGCATCTACATGTTCGTAAGACCCCAAAACTTTAGATTCTTCTTCAACATGCAAGAACCCAAGAACCTGAGAACTCAGATACAAAATATACTCGAAGAAAAGGTTCTTGCATCTACATGTTCGTAAGACCCCAAAACTTTAGATTCTTCTTCAACATGCAAGAACCCAAGAACCTGAGAACTCAGATACAAAATATACTCGAAGAAAAGGTTGTTGTATCGAAATGTTCGTATAAGAACGTAAAAGTTTAGATGCGTTTTCATCATGCAAGAACACAAGAACGCAAGAACCCAAAAAAAGAAGAAAAGCTTCTGGTGGCTAAATGTTCGTACGTGGCTAGAACGTCAGTACGAACCTAAAAGTTTTTCATGCAAGAACCCACGAACCTATAGCCTAGATATCAAACATAGTAGAAGAAAAGATTCTTGTATCTAAATGTCCGTAAGAACGTAAAAGTTTAGGTTCGTTTTCATCATCCAAGAATCGTGGAAGCTAAGAGCCTAGGTTTAAAATATACTGGAAGAAAAGGTTCTTGCATCTAAATGTTCGTAAGAATCTAAAACGTCAGTACGAAACTAAAAGTTTAGATTCTTCTTCAGCATGCAAGAACCCAACAACCTAAGAACCTAGATGTGAAATGTATTAGGAGAAAAGGTTCTTGTATCTAAATGTTCGTACGAAGGGAGAACGTCAGTACGAACCTAAAAGTTTAGATTCGTTTTCATCATGCAAGAGCCCAAGAACCTATAACGTAGATATAAAACATACTAGAAGAAAAGATTCTTGTATCTAAATGTTCGTAAGAACCTAAAAGTTTTGATTCGTTTTCATAATGCAGGATCCTGATAATCTAAGGTAACATAGGTATAAAATATACCAGGAGATATGGTTCTTGTATCTAAATGTTCGCAAGAACCTAAAACGTCAGTACGAACCTAAAAGTCTAGATTCGTTTTCATCATGGAAGAACGGAAGAACCTAAGAACCTAGATCTAAAATATACTAGGAGAAAAGGTTCTTGTATCTAAATGTTCGTACGAACGTATGAGAGGCTAGATAGGGACGGTGCGGGTGACAGTGAATGTTAGAACGTAAAAGTTTACATTGGGATGAACCCAGGAACCTCAAGTTGTTTTGAAATGTTGGTTCCGGTTTTTTTTAGATTCGTTACGAATAAGAATTCCTTACTTCATCAGTATTTCAGAGTCCAAGAGATGTGAAGGTAAAGGTCTTAGTACAAAATGCATAAAACCAGAATTGTCTAGCTCTTTTCATTCAAAACTTACTTCAGAAATATTCACGGCCGTTATGTTTCAAAATGAATATAGTGGTTCATAAAGAAAATCTTACTCAACAGTTGTATGTTCTAGAAAAAACTGTTAGATAGTCACTTATAAAAATACAAACTTTTTTCCAAAAGCCTTCTAACAGGTTTGTTGCATTGCTACTTTCAAATGAGGTATTGCGCCAAAAAAATCTGAGGAAACGTGGAAGCACAATAATCAAAATACTAAACTCGAACTGCTCGAAATCAACTCAAAATTAACTCGAGACTGCTGATGGTGTAGCGCATAATCGAAGATTCTTCAGATAGTAGCATTCCATTTACATTTTAATTTTTCATCATATAGCAAATGTGCGTTCTGCTCATGCATATACTCTTATATGATGAATATTACAAACATTATTCCGTTCTACCATATAAAGTCAGCCGTCGTATGGTAAGTTCCAACATGAAAAAGTTTTAATAGATCATATTTGTTTCCTATAAAGTCGTTAGTTTAAAACCGATCACTTTTTTGAAGTTCACACATTTTCTCCACCCTTTTCTGTTCGCGTTTTCATGGTACAATCTTTACTCACATAAACACTCTCAGACACGAAACGTCTTTTTACTGATCTTTTGACTTACATTAATTAACGATTCTTCTGGTTCATTTAATATCTTTTTCTTTTTTCCATCTGCCATCACAACATTTCTACGTTCATGATCTTTTATTAACGTAATCAATTGTTTTGCATTTTCAAGACACGATCGTCTCATAACAGCATGGTGCAAACTTGTTCTGCCCTCTTCATCTTGTTGAGATAATTTTGCTCCTTTAGTATATAAATATTCGATAACACCCATTTGATTCGTATTATCGAGGTCCTGTTATGGAAAAACAAACATATCAATCTTATTAAAACCATGGCCAATCGTCAACCATACATACTATATTTTGAAAAGGCATGTGAGTTGCAAGGCTTCGTCGTTTACTGGATTCATTAAGCACTTTTTTATCTACCGAAGGTTTTTCATGACGAGAAACCATGTGCAACGGCGTTTCACCATCGTGTCCAATAACGTTCACATCTAAATAAACACTTGTCATGTTGTCCGTTTAAAAGTAAAACATCTTTGAAGAATGTTCAAATTTCATAATTTCTAGATCTTGATTTGTACCTACTACATTACAGCTCAAGAGTTCTGTTTCTTCTCTTATCACAAGCTAAGAAACTATTTTCTTGATCTGATCATGGCCTGTTTGTAGGATAATATTTGTCAAGCTGATCATGAAAAAACATTTCAATGTAAAGGAAAAGTGTGTGACTGGACTAAGATCTTAACATTCCATGTCTATGTCCTAACCACTGAGCTACGTGATCGACATCTCTATCCGTCACAGTCAAGATCTTGAATTCTTGTACTGGTCTTGAAAAAACCAGGACCTGATCGGAAAGTTTCCTCCGTACTTATTACATTATAGATTCCGATCTTGATCTGATAATGAAAGTCAACGTTCTTTAGAGATTACTTAAATATTTACCACATTTAAAATTTTCTATGAGTATTTTGCATATTTCTTTGCAATGATGAGCAGCCGCATAATGTAATGGGGTATAATATTTGGAATTGAGTGTTTCTATTTTTTTTCTTATTTGTTCATTTGATAATCCATCTTGTTCCTTCCATTTTAACAGTTTATTGCTGAAAAATTGGGCGTTTTTATCATCACAAGCAGCCTTAAATAAATAAATTGAAGCTAATATATTATTTCAATTTTCCAGAAAAGTTTTTCTATACTAAACCATAAGTAATTTGAAAACTATGGTCAACAGTTTTTGTACTCTCTCTAGTTTTCCAAAACCTAATCATAAACAGTCGGCAGAAATTGATGCAATAAATTAGAGATATCTCTCACAGTCAGCAATACAAATGAAAATGGTTGACAATACTTGTGTGAAGAGAAAGACAGTTATTATCCTACCCAGCTAAGGTCTTCCCAAAGATTGTGAAAGTTTTGTATTCAAGCAATTTCGTTTTAGAATCAATAAATAGAACCGTTTGACGTATATTTAAAAACAACTTTGTTATCTATAGTTCCAATTAAGACTGGATGTATTATTAGGGACATACTTTCCACCAAAATGAAATTGAAATGAAATGAAATTTCAGCTATAACTGTGGCATAATTCGGGCTCATAGGCAGGAGTACAAGTTTTGCTATTATTAACTGCTGTAGATACTATAAATAAGAGATGACTCACTTTTTAACGTCGGTACTAACAAGACTTTTTTATGACGCATTAGGATCATTCATCTCTGAACATTTTGTTTTTTGGTAATAAGCAGCAACGCGGAAACGGAGATGTTCTTCAGTCATAAATCCGTCTTAGCGAAAGGACACTGCCGGTTTATTTTTCTCCGCCCGTTTATCATCAAATCATGTGTGTAGATAGTACTCATCAAGGTGCATCCAACGGTATATCATTTTAGTCTAGGAAATCATTCCATCAAAAGTTATTGGAAGAATAAAAATTTTGGGAATTCCCAATGGTAAGAATAAAAATTCTAGCTTTCTCTTCTAACTGAATGAAAATATTTCATATACCAGTCAATTCAGCAATGCTTACTCTATCTATATTTTTTTATGTTTAATGTATTTTGTGCACATAGACTGCGAGAGAAAAATTTGAAAAAGTAGAAAAAAGTATTTTCTGCATTATGGATGTCTTTAATAAAATTCATATAGCTCAGCTCAGAAGCCTTGCCGCAAAGCCAAACCTTCGGAAAAGCATCCTGACATGTTGAGCTAGAAATTCTGAGAATATGAGTAACAAATATTTTCTCCTAACGGAATTATGACTTTTTTATTATCTGGTATAAGAGGTAAAACTGCCTAACTTTTACGTAAAATCCAGTTTTTCGACTTCAACATTCTAGAAAACCTAGTAATCTTAAATTTTCTTTCAGAACTTTTTCAAAACAGATAGAACTCTGTGCGCTCTTTCATTTGGTACCAACTTGAAGGTTCTATGTTAGGGAATGTGGTCAGCAGATGTTCTACAAGCTAAGCCGAATCTGCCGGAAAATTACGAAAATGCATTTTTCCACTGCGAATTTTTGTTTCTACGTTAAGAATAATCCAATTCATGTAAAATGTAGAGAAAGACGAGCTCTACAAATGTGACTACTTTAAAAGTTTTTTCATTTCGTCGTTGAAATAAAAATTGCGGGTAACGAGCAGAATTGGCGATATTTAGGGCTCAACAATCCTAGAGCCAAAACTATAGGTTTCCCATGATCACCAAATACGTTTTCTGACCCAGTTTTATTCATAGATTACGAATATTATCTTAGTTTTGAAAAAAAATGTTTCTAAATCGAAAAACTGAATTTCTTGCTCAATATGTCAGGATGCTTTTCTGAAGGTTTGACTTTGCGGCAAGGCTTCTAAGCTGAGCTATATGAATTTTATTAAAGACATCCATAATACAGAAAATACTTTTTTCTACTTTTTCAAATTTTTCTCTCGCGGTCTATGTGCACATAATACACTAAACATAAATAAAGATAGAGTAAGTCTTGCTGAATCGACTAGTATATTAAATATTTTCATATAGTTAGAAGAGAAAGCTAGAAAACACCATCTTTTTTTCTAAGTATCAAAAATTCCCAAAATTTTTATTCTTCCAATAACTTTTGATGGAATGATTTCTTAGACTAGAACGACATACCGTTTGATGCACCTTGATGAGTACTATCTACACACATGATTTGATGATAAACGGGCGCAGAAAAATAAACCGGCAGTGCTCTTAATCCATAAGAAATGATATTAGCATAGTTACCTTATGTAACGACTTTAAATTTTTGGTTTCCTCTTGCTCATCATCGACATTTTGTTCCTCATCTTCACCTTCATCTTTATCTGCGTTATTCGCTTCAACTGTCACTTGTTGTTGATTCGTACCACTTCCACCGTTGCTTTGCATTGTATTCCGTTGTCCTTGCTGACCATATGTTGTTCTGTCATCACCTAATGGTAATTTTATATCTTTTGCAGTACTCATGAGCAATTGTTTTATATGTATGAAGTTTTTGGTTATTTTGTAACTAAAACCAGTTAGTATTAAACGAAATTTAGCTGGCTTTTTACTATTTCGTTTTTACTATTTCGTTCGTTCTTCTGGAAGTTTTTCTTATTACTGTTATGCAGTACAATTGTATTTTTATTGTATGCAAAGGCTTTCAAACAAATGTGTCAACAAAAGTTTTAAATAACTTTGATTAAAAACAAAGTTGAAGAAAAAAAACCATTACCGTAGTTAACCAAACACAAAAACTCAAACTTCGAGATTAACATTTTATTGCTCTTTTTTGTAAAAAAATTTTGTTTATATCTTGAATTTGAATAAACTTAATGAAAGAATAACAGAGAAGCCCGACAGTCTTAAACTTCATTGTGCAAAATTTTTAACAAAATACAGAAAAAGGTAATTGTAAACGCTTCGCTAACAACCATCTCCAATACGTGTTACCAGACTCACCCAATTTAACAAAATAAGGTCAATACTAGTCAGATCTGCATAATAATGAAAGAAAAAACTAAATATTTCAGTTGAAGATTAGATATACAACAAAATGTGTTCTTCAAGAATAACCTAGTACTGTCGATGTGAAAATAAAATCAAGAGTGCGTCACCATTCGCCAAATGACGCTTAACAGTGTCAGAAATGAGGCTGTTCATATTTTCCAAAATTCTCGATACAGGAGAATGTTGGATGTTTGGGTTTGTTTTAAATTGATGATAACACTGATACCTACAGCCTACAACAGCCGGATTTTTGAAATTCAGCTCTACTGATTTTTGACGGTTATGGCGAGACAAAAATCAAAACGCAACTATATTTTTGCTGAGTAGTTTTTATTAAATGCTAAGTTAATTTTTGTTAATTCCTACTTTAGTAAGCTATATTTTTGTGTGCGTAGGGGCGGTTGTGGGAGAAGGTGCGTGGAGAGCATGAGAGTGAGCCAGTAAACAACATTTCTGCAAAAAATATAATTATTTTGAATAAATTACTTGGAATGAAATAACTTTTTACTTAGCATTTAATAAAAACTACGTAGCATTAAATGGGAGCTAAATCAAAACATGGTGACTCAAGTTTTCTAGAAATTCTTTGCGTTATCGAAAGCGGAACCGAAATTCAAAAATCGAGCTCTTGAACATGGTAGTCATCAGTGGTATTTCCAGTTTAAGACTAGTCCGACCTTTTCTACACCTTCCTGCACGGAAACTTTTCGGAAATACGAACAGTCTTGCACGTAAGGCCTACCTTAGAAAAGAGAAATAAGTTGAAGTGAAAAGTAATGCTCTAAAACGTTAGGTACTTTTGATATGTTCTGCAGTTATTTATGCAGCTGTATAATTGTAAAGTCATCGATGTTTTCTAGAATTACGGGCACAATTGCAGATTTTTCGTGTCTTATTCAGAAAAAATGAATTTTGTCAGCGGCGGAAAGGAATTTTAAGAAAAGACCTGTGTACTTTTTTTGTCCGTGTAAAGACGAATCCAATGCGGTGTAAATCACGACTTCGTCCGTAACAGAAAAGCTAAATAGGTTTGCAAAATTTGTTGCAAAATTAGTTGATTATGAATTTTTGCTTTGGCCATATGATATAGAATCTAAATAATATTTCTAGAGTCAGTTTGATACGGGGAATCACACGCAGATTATGAATTTGACATCGGTGCATGTTGAAGCACCGAAAAAAATTGAAGAAATAATGAACTTTTGAAAATCGTCTCCATAAATGCACAACACCTCACTACTTGCACCTCTCCAAAAAACCTCCTCCTAGTGATTTAAAATTTTCTTCTACATATCAATCGATGAAGAATTATCAACCATACAAAATAATATAGTTTATTTTTTGGTCAAGCCGGACTCGCGATTTCTAGATCCCAAATATTAAAAAAAGAATGATTGAGAAAAAGCGATTTTTCTAGTTTTTGCCTTGTAGTCGCCCAGGATGCTACCTTTCACTGTACCTTTTTGCAGTGATTTAGTAGACCAAACATTTCTCTCTCATATAAGATGTGAACGAGCCTTAAGAATCAAGCTATTTCTGAGATATTAAAGAAACATTGATTTCATCCACAAGTGGAGCTTCTGGTGATGACTGAAAAGTTAAGACCCCCTAATTCATGAACAATGCCATGCGAAGGCGAGATATCTTGGATTTCTTAGTTTTTCGATGAGCTCTTTCGAACTAGAGTACTAACAGAAAAAAAAATTTAGCTCCGGCCACTATTCCCTTAGCCGATCGATTTTCTCGCGGACTCTCTCTTAACTGTTTCTATTCCGCTGCATGCACAATACTGATTATTTACTAAGTGCCTGCTATGAAAATCAAAATTTAATTGAGAGAATGCATTTAATGCTTTCGGTCAACCTGTTTGAATCGTTGCCGTTTGTAACATGGATGCATAATATCGTGTATCTTTGAGTGAAAGCCGGACAATTCAACAATTTGATGCTACTCAACTCACTGCCTAACTATCCACGAAAAGGATACACTGACATTTCCGCGAACGACATTTTCTCGAACGATATTACCGCGAACCGACATTCCCGCGTGCGGTAATGACGTTAATGTCATGTGACGAAATTTTGTTCATGGCGTATAAAGTTTCAATAGGAATCTATCCAAGAATTCCTAATACTTATTTTCTAGAACTCAAATGCATTGCCCGATATTATAGCTTTATATTGTAAGCCATCAGGGGACATTCATGAACATATGAAAATTTGTTCTAATAGCATCCACAATATACAGATGATGATTCTTATAATGTCTTCTTTCCATCACATATAACAAAGTGTTAGACAGATTATCGATGAAAATATTGAGGCTTGAACATTTTGATACTGTTACGAATAAAATGAATAACACAATCACAATTTCAAACAACAATTAAAAATATAACGTGAATCACAGCGATTCACGCAAATATTAAAAATTGTTAGTTCCAGAGGTAAAAAGGTCTTGTGACGCACATGGTCTATAAAACTTTGTGTTTGTTTATCTTTCATCTGCCTATGAGCTTTTATTTTTGAAAAATTTTAATCTGTCTTGTACTGAAGCAACGTTATCAAAGGCGTGAAAGGATGTGAGAATGTTATTATTGGCGAAAAAGAGTCTGTATGTATTTCATCTCAAACTGGGCCCATCTCATTGTTGGATATATTCCTAAAAATTGACGAAAAATTATTTCTAACCGGGTTTTGGGATATCTTGAACAAAAGCGGACTATTACCAGACACTCAATCTGGATTTGGAGAAAATTTTTGCCTTCAAACTAGACTTTTGTTGTTTCTAGAACAAGTATCCTTCCTCGTGTCTAATTGTTCTCCGTTAGCAACTGGTTTTGTTGATTTGAAATCGATCTTCGACCAGTTCTGGTTCGAAGAATTTATTGGTAAGTTAAGAGGATGGGAACTCCTCAATCGCTCTTGAAATGGATAATAGCCTGGCTGCAAAATAGAAGAGCATTCATTTGAGATAGACGGAAAGAAATCACGGTGGCTTTTTATTATGAGAGAGGTGTAAACGTCGTTTAAAAGGTCCCGACTTCCGCAACGGTTTGACTAACTTCTACGAGTTAA